AATGGAAGCCACTGAAGTCTCCGGACCCAGGAAAACGCGTGTCTGGAAAGCTGTACTCGGCAATCCCTCGGCGCCGAACCTCTGAAAGATGTCCCTCTTTAACTGCTCCCTGAAGACTTGCAGCAGCTGCCAGCGATGAGTGCACTCCTCCCAGCTGCCCTGCATCAATCTGATTAGGCCACAGAAGAGAGAACAAGAGTCCCACCCGCTACCTCCAGAATTACTGTGGCTCCCCCTTGTGACCCTGTCCCGTATCCCCACAGTACCCCCCCCTCAACGGGCGCCTCCTGGCGGCCGCCCGGGCTTACCCGGATTGTCCCGATAGAACTCCCGGAATAATGTGGAGCCAAAAATCTGCCGGCGGGGCAGCCAAGATCGTTCCTCCGGTCCATACCCCTCCCAATCCACCAGATATTGAAACCCCCGCCCCCGACGCCGGACGTCCAGTATCCGGGAAACCCTGTGTGCTGGATGCCCCTCGATGACCAGGGGAGCCGGGGGAGCATTGGCCGGAGGGCTGAATTCGCTCTCCCCCACCGGTTTCAACAGTGAGACGTGAAACGTCGGATGTACCTTCAGGGCCGCCGGCAGGGTCAGACGAACCGCCGAAGGGTTGACGATCTGTTCGATAGGGTATGGTCCGACGTACCTTGGGTTCATCTTGCGGCCCTCCGTTGCCAGGGGGAGGTCCTTCGCGGACAACCACACCTGCTGTCCTACCCTGTACGCCGGTGCGGGGACGCGATGTCGGTCAGCCATCTTCTTGTTGATCTCCCCCGACCGGGTGATAGCTGCCCGCGCCCCACACCTCCTGAATCCGCCGGAGATGGTCATCGACGGACGGGACTGCCACTGCTGCCTCCTGGATCTGAAACAACGGGGGCTGAAAACCGAAACAGACCATAAATGGCGACATCCCCGTAGCAGAACGTGACAGGGAATTGTGGGCATACTCCACCCACGGCAGGAACTTGCTCCATGACGCCGGATGCCGCGCCGCGATGCACCGCAACGCCGACCCCAGGTCTTGATTTGCCCGCTCAGTCTGTCCGTTGGACTGTGGATGATACCCTGAAGATAAACTGGCCCTTGCCCCCACAGCCCTGCAAAACGCACCCCATACCTTAGACGCGAACTGCGGTCCTCTGTCGGATACAATGTCCATAGGGATCCCGTGAATCCGGAACACATGCAAGACCAACAGCTCGGCGGTCTCCAACGCAGAAGGCAGTTTGGTGAGGGGAACATAATGAACCGCTTTGGAAAAACGGTCCACTATGGTCAGAATGGTTGTGTTCCCGTCGGATGGAGGCAAGCCCGTAACAAAGTCCACCCCGATGTGGGACCACGGCCTGCCCGGGACAGGCAATGGTTGCAGCAGGCCCGCCGAGGCCTGGTGCGAGGCCTTACCTCTGGCACATTCGGGGCACGCCGCCACAAACGCCCTCGTGTCTCGATCCAGTCCCGGCCACCAAAACCGCTGACGAATGAAGAGAGCCGTCCGTCTCGCCCCCGGATGACACGTCAGCTTCGATGAATGGCCCCACTGAAGTACCTGCGATCTGACCGTCCGTGGCACGAACAGGCGGTCCGCTGGTCCCCCCTCTGGCACCGACTCCCCCCGCTGCGCCTCCTGCACCACCGACTCGATCTCCCAAGTTGCCGCACCTACAATACACTCGGACGGAAGTATGGGCGTGGAATCCGGTGATGCCGGCGGCGGGAAGATCCTGGAAAGGGCGTCCGGCTTGCCGTTCTTGCTTCCCGGGCGATAGGACAACGTAAACTGGAAACGGCTGAGGAACAAGGCCCACCGTGCTTGTCGGGAATTCAGCCTCCGAGCTGCCTGGATGTACGCCAGATTCTTGTGATCCGTCCAAATCCAGAAGGGCTGCAGGCTACCCTCCAACCAATGCCGCCATTCCTGTAGCGCGAGGACCACTGCCAGCAGCTCCCGATTCCCGACGTCATAATTCTTCTCCGCCGGACTCAACCGTTTGGAGAAGAAAGCACATGGATGTAACTTCTGCGTTGACGGATCTCGCTGAGACAGAACGGCCCCGACCCCTGCTTCCGACGCATCCACTTCCACCACAAACTGCCGAGCGGAATCAGGGTGCCTAAGAATAGGGGCGCTGGTGAAGAGAGACCTCAATTTACTAAACGCCCCCTGTGCTTCTGGCGTCCAGCAGAAGGATGCCTTGGTGGATGTTAGCGCGGTGAGAGGTGCGGCCACTCTACTGAAGTCCCTCACAAACCGGCGATAAAAATTTGCGAACCCCAGGAACCGCTGTAAGTCCTTCCGCGTGCCCGGGATCGGCCAGTCTGCTACCGCTCGAATCTTATCAGGATCCGGTTCCACCTGCCCCCGCGCAATCACGAACCCGAGGAAACGAACCGACGCCACGTGAAATTCGCACTTCTCGGGTTTAACGTATAGCCTGTTTTCCAAAAGTCGCCGCAGCACCAGTCGCACCTGTTGCTGGTGCTCGGCGAGGGACCGGGAGAAAATCAGGATATCGTCCAGATAAATGAAAGCGAAGCTACTGGTGATATCCCGAAACAGATTATTCATTAATGACTGGAAGACGGCCGGGGCATTTGTCAACCCAAACGGCATGACCCGATACTCGAATTGCCCCATGGGCGTGTTAAAGGCCGTCTTCCATTCATCACCTTCGCGGATACGAACCAAATGATAGGCGTTTCGGAGATCCAGCTTGGTAAAAAACTGCGCCTGAGAGAGAGGTTCGAATGACGGGTCGATTAACGGCAATGGAGTCTTATTCTTTATCGTGATTCGATTCAAGCCCCGATAGTCAATGCACGGACGCAGTGAGTGGTCCTTTTTCTCAACGAAAAAGAACCCCGCGCCTAACGGGGCGGACGAAGGACGGATGAAACCCGCGTCCAGGCACTCCCGAACGTATTTTTCCATTGCTAACCGTTCCGGGCGGGAGATGTTGAAAAGACGGCTAGTGGGCAGCGGAGCCCCCGGGAGCAAGTCTATCGCACAATCGAAAGGTCGGTGCGGTGGCAGAGTACAAGCCTTGTCCTTACTAAACACCTGCGCAAGGTCATGGTAGACTGATGGAACCGTGGATAAGTCTGGAGGAAGTGATGGTACCACTGACGTCGCTGGTGTTCCCCCCGCAGCCCGCAGACACCGGGCATGACACCCCACGCTCCAGCCCGCGATGGCCATAGTTGTCCAATCCACCATGGGGTTATGAAGTTTTAACCACGGGAGACCCAGCACGATCGGACTCGCCGGAGACGGAATAATTAGCAACTGAATGGTTTCTGAATGGTTTCCCGATATACGGAGCGTGAGGGGGCCTGTGCGATGCGTGACCCGGCTGATCAGTCGACCATCTAGCGCGTTAACTGCCCTGGCGCTCTCGAGCGTCTCTAACGGTACTCGCAACCGTGCGGCTAGTCCCTCGTCCATAAAATTAGCATCAGAACCGGAGTCCACGAGGGCGGTGGTCGAGTGATTATGGGAATGAAACAGTAGAATGGCCGGAATGGAAATACGGGATGGGATAGTAGAGGACGCTGCGTTACTCACCAGGAGGTCCTCTCCGCCTGGTGAGGAGCCCCGTTTGGGGACTCCGGACAGTTCCTAGCATAATGTCCCGCGCGTCCGCAATACAAACACAGTCGACGACTAAACCGCCGTTCGCGTTCGGACGGAGTCAACCGAGCCCGCCCCAACTGCATCGGCTCGCCCGCGCCTCCCGAAAACTCCCCCCCCGAGAACTGCGGACGCGACGGCCGCCTCCCCCGCTCGCGTTCACGTTCCTGAATGCGATTATCCATCGTAATTGCCAACGAAATAAGCTGCTCCAAAGTGGTGGTGGCGTCGCGAGAGAGCAGCTCGTCTTTCAGGGTCTCCGACAGGTTCCGCGCAAAAATGGTCCTTAGCGTGTGTTCGTTGGCACCGCTCTCGGCGGCAAGGATCCGGAACGAGATAGCAAAGTCCGCCACTGATTCAGACCCCTGCCGCAGCGACAGCAGCCTATTCAAAGCATCCTGCCCCCGCACCGGGTGGTCGAACACACGTCGCAGTTCCTCAGAAAAACCCGCGAAAGAGCTCAACGCCGAGGACTGACCCCCCCACAACGCGGTCGCCCACTGGGCCGCCCTTCCCCGAAACAAATTCATACAAAAAGCTATCTTGGCTCTGTCGGTGGTATAACTGCGGGGCTGCAGGTCGAACACGAGCTCGCAGTTCAGTAAGAAGCGGCCGCACCCCCCGGCTTCCCCTGCATACGGTTCTGGCAGTGGAACCCGCGGCTCCCGGTCGTTGGCGCCGTTGGTCGGACCCTGGTCCTCCTCTCTCCCTGGAGGATCCGGACCTCCCGATGCCGCAGCCCCCGACGTCCCAGGCCGGTCCATCCGTCGATTCAGCCTCTCCAAGGACTCCATCATCAGCACCAGCATCTGCTCGTGCCTCCCCACCATCGCTCCCTGGGCGCTGAGAGCCTCCTGCACGGATGCCGGGTTTGCTGGATCCATGTTGTATGGCCGAGGGATTCTGTCACGGCTCGTGAGAGGGATCCAAAAGCAAACACCGGAACCAGGTAAAGTATAAACACAAAATGCGTATTTATTGTCTCTCTTCCCAAACGACAACTCAAATACTCAGGCCTTCCGGCAATGCACCGCCGTCGTCGGCGGCGTCCCGTGTCTCCCTCGTGACGTAGGAATGGAAGCCACTGAAGTCTCCGGACCCAGGAAACCGCGTGTCTGGAAAGCTGTACTCGGCAATCCCTCGGCGCCGAACCTCTGAAAGATGTCCCTCTTTAACTGCTCCCTGAAGACTTGCAGCAGCTGCCAGCGATGAGTGCACTCCTCCCAGCTGCCCTGCATCAATCTGATTAGGCCACAGAAGAGAGAACAAGAGTCCCACCCGCTACCTCCAGAATTACTGTGGCTCCCCCTTGTGACCCTGTCCCGTATCCCCACACAGTCGACTATAAGGTGGTCATCTTTACCTGTGTCCCCCCAAACCGGCAGGTACTCATCCTGCTGGATGTCCAGCATGATCTCCAGGCCATTTCCTGTCCCTCCCTTCATGGTGGTGCGGAGCGTCTTCCCTTCCTCTACGGCGTTGAACATGTAGCACTTCCCATACCTGGTGAACACCTGAGAGGAGACGCAGAGAAAGAGAGGGCTGATTAGTGATGAATCGTAAACCCTCACACACACACACACTGTAAAGACACTGTTGCGGTAGATGTTGCAGTAGATGACAATTGTACAATGATTGAGCCTTAGGAATCTTCTGCTACTTAAAAATAAATGAATGAAAAAACTTTTCTTAAATCAAATTTAGAATATGTTCTAAAAAGTTGAGTTATGACACAGCTGTATATCAATACAAGATGATGAGTCCCAAATGATGAAATTAGGGTATTTTTGTCTGCCGGGAATAACTGGATGTAGAGTAATGTCTCCTAGATAGACGTTATATTCTTCACACACATAGTTTCATTCCCACACGTCAAATAAATAAAAAATCAGGTCTTTTTTGTCTATTGCTGATTTAGAGATCTTAACATATGTTCATACGTCTGGAACAAATGCTGCATATAGCAGTAAGAATCTATGCTTAAACTACAAAATTAGACACCAGGTACACCGATTTTGGTCTCTATACAATTATAAACGGACCCGCCCCTTCCTGCCTGCTTGATCTCAGAATTATACTGTAATCAAGGACTTCTCCAATATGTGCCACTTCATCTGGAATAACCTCCCTATGGAGATCAGCAAGTTCAATCTGAGGCCCTTAACTCAAAACTCATCTTTTTACCCTAACATTTGTTTCTTATTGGTTAATTATCTGTTTGTGTGTGTGTGTGTGTGTGTGGGCATCACGATATGCTTTGACTCCTTCTGAATGTTTTTTATTATGAGAGGCTTAGAAATCAGTCTTAGAAATCTGAAATAACAAATTTAAATCTGTCAAAGTAAATGCTGTAATTGAATGTTGTAAATTGTAGGACAACGCGCATTTCTGTCTGAGGTTCTCCAGTGAAACATTTTTAGTTTTTGTTTAGTTTTTTTATTTAGTTGCCATTATGTTATCTTTCCTATTTCAGTTGCCAATTTATGGCTACTGCCTCTACCTGCCTCTGCTTTCTATTTCTGACAGAAGAACGATATTCTGCCCATTAAAAATGTGGCTTTTAGTTTATTTCTTGCATTGTTTTAAAATATTGTAACAAATTGAGAGTGACATGTAAACGAGTGTTGAAGACAGGACTAAATTATCCCAATTATGGAGATTGAGAGTTCAGCGAAGGTCTCATGTAGGGACACTGTTAAGCCTGTCAATCATCCTCGCTACCCATGGGGATGCGTGGCACAAGTGAGGGCGTCTTGGATTGGCAGAGGGAGGGGGGGGGGGGGGTGTTGTTGGTCATGCTAGAATTTGTCAAGTCTGGCTATGTCCTGAAGCTGTTTAAGTTTGATCAGACACAGTTATCGGTCGTTGTGGACTATGGGCCTGCTTTCATGCTGCAACCAGCAAGTTGCCTCGTAGCTTGGATTTAAGGAGATTTTGAATTTCTTAATGTTGATCATTAGTGGGTCTCTCTTATTCTGCTTTCTTCCATCCTCCTGCGTGAATGATGTGCTTCAGTTCGGCAAGTCATACGTTTGTGCAGCCTGTCCTTTTTTTTTAGGTCACATAGTGCAGAGGATGTGTCTTACGCTCCAGCTGTTAAGCAGCACCCAGCAGCTGCCTGACTCTCTCTTGCACACATTCTGCGTATCATTTTGTCCATGTCGTAATTTTATTATGTTGATCTTTTCAGTACACGCACATCAGTCCGTCCTGGTAGAGTCTGTCCTCCTCCGGTGCTCCAAAACCAAGGGTAAAGAGTATGATGTTTGCTGTACGGATTGCAAAAGTCCCCGAAGCAAATTTAGGATTCATGATGTGGCGCAAAAGATATTGACTTTTTCTTGAAGGACGGATGCGACGCTGTCCTGTATTGCATCAACCGGGTTCAAAAGGTTAAGGCCTTTTAAGCCATTTTCTTTCTTTCTGTTTCATTTCAGAAAAAAAGTGGCCAATGTTTTCACACTGCCCACGGAGCCCTGACGGCTACAAGCGTTATCATCAAGTGTGCGGTGAAGGGCAGGTCTGCCAATAACTGCCAGCGGGCAGAGAGGCTCCATCTTTCTAACATTATCTATCTTTCATTCCGCGGGGCCCTTTTGAATGGTTCACATTCGAAGGGTAAAGCAAAGTCCAGCCCACTGAAACAAGCTGCAAGTGTACAAATAAAAAACACTGCCAACTAAACTTCATTGCTTGGAAGCAGGATGAAATTCTGTTTTACTGCAGAATTTAATTTACACAGAGGTCAAAGGTGTCCTATTGGGGGTGTGAGTAAATTCAGCTACAAATGTTTTGGCAAAAGAAACTTGCTTTACCACTCAACAAGAGCCAGCAAAAAGCTTCTAAGCACTTGTGACTAATAAAGGAGAAGTTAAAGTAACAGTAGTATAGTATAGTAAAACTTTTTTGAGATTGTAGGTGTTACACAAGCAAACATGGGAATGAGAGTATAGTTGTTAGGTGTTCTCTCAAAAACATTTGTCAGCATGACACCCATCCAGGCCAGTCTGCAATGACTCTAAGCTCACTGCCTCATAGAGGAAATTATTTTCATTTATTTTTTATTCAATGGTAATGAAGCAGCAAGAAAACTGCAGACGAATCCTTCCCCAGCAATGGAGTCCATGCAGCTGGATTGCGCGCTTCTCACGGTATTGCATGAAGAGCAATGTTGGCCTTTAGGCAATCGCTCTCTCACTACCACGTGCCCTTTGCCTTGCACGCCACAGCAACCCTCGAGGGTACGCCACATTGCTTCAATGTTTGTGAAAAAGTCAGTCAGCTAAACATATCTCATTTGCTTATAATTAATAGATGACAATCTGGTCAGACTTGAGATAACAAGAAGCCTTATTATTATCGGCTCTAATGCAAAGGCATGTTATGTTATCTAAATGTTTCCATATATTTCCCAGAAATAAATGTCTCCAAAAAGATCATGCAACAGATGTGCATGAAATAGAAAGCAAATTGTAAATTGTAAGGATTGTCATGTCTGACATGTCATGTCAATTATGTTAATCAAGAATATAAAATGCAAATTCATACGTTTCGGGGAAAATCCTCACCTAAGTCTATATTTATAACGTTCCTGATAGCCAATAATAGGAACGCACCAACATGAGAACATTTCTAATCACTTCTGTACCACATGACTTAAACAAAGTGGTCAAACCAGCTTCTTGCCTTGTTGCTCATGTAGTCAAAGATAGAAATAATGACTTCTAAACATTTTATTATAAAGCTCAGAAGAATGCATTGTGGTCCAAGGTTAATGCTAGTGGGGTTATTGTTAACATCCTGCACCAGAACATTGGTGAACAGGACAACAAAATGGAAGACATAGTACATCGACAGTAGCTGTTTTTCAGTGCAGGAGTGTTTTTTTTCATTTCATGCTCCTCCTCCTTAATTGACTCGCCTTCTCACGGCTGGTTGACTGACTTGATTGAGAGACTGATCTAATGCCAGGCTGCCACAGAGGTGGTGCAGATCAGAAAAATATGAAGTACCACATTATGGGTTCATTCACCTGCAAAACAGAGATGCTCCTGACAGATATGTACCTGCACAAAATAAATGACACACTGGGAGCTGCTGGAGCGGAGTGAAGGGGGACAGCGGATAAATATTCATTACACCATCACTCCACGTTTGCAGGATCTGGCTGTTTTTGTATTTTCCTTTTATTAATGTTTGTATTCAATTCACATACTTCTCTGTGCAGAGCAGAGAAACAGAGGTCCCCGATGGTGGTGGTCCAGTATCCAATAAGACACAGTGTGCCCGCATGCACCGCTTTACCTGGACTTCTCCCAAATAAAAACATTTTCTGATCAGATTAGATGAGATTGGTTTAAAAGTCCACCTCAAGGGAAATTTGTCTTTGGCTTTTCCCAAGTAGAGCTCGGGTAAATATGATACACATTGCACATAAAAACATACAGTGCACAAAATACAAAAAACAATGGTGCAAAGCTGCAAGGCAGAAAATAATGCATATGAATAATAAAAGAGCATTTATAATAGAATAATAAGTGTTGAATTCTGGGTTTCAATGCCTGTGCAGCATTGTACTGTAAATAAACAACTTATCTGGTGTCAGCTGATCCATCGGACCCTAAATCCGAAGCCAGATGAGTTCATCTAAAACTTCATTGCAGTGGATGCAGTTGTTTTTATCTTTAGCTTATCAAAAAATATTGCAAAATAGATTATTTGACTTGCCAATTCCTCCTCTGCAGTACCAACAATGTGTTTTGCTATTTGCACTCGAGTTGCTTTACTTTGCTTTACTAAGTTTAGTAATAAAAATCTTTTTCCACACTTTTGTATACAATTGCAAGTATTATTTGTGTCTGATGCACCTCCGCTACGGAAGCTTAAACACTTCAGAAATTGCAGATAGTCATTTGGCATTATGTTATATCTATATGTGTGTAAAAATGTGGATTTTATATAATCTCCCATTAATCGTTTTCTAAGACATTGGCTCCCAAGTGTCTACTGTGAACATCGTTCTCACCCCTGTCTTTGTTATATGGGGATGAATTGCTTCCAGGGGGACACTCCTCTACCCTTTCCCTCCTTCTGTCAAGACCAATGATGTTTGATGGACAGGACCAGGGACGGGTCAGTGTCCCATTAGACCTCACCCAGACACAAAGGCTTCTCCTGAGTCACCGGGTGACAAAGACACTAACCCAGCGGGGTTCTGTTACTTTGCATATCCTTGCCACTGACCCCGTCCCTGCCGGCTTCCCTCCTCACTTCCTTCCTTATCTGTGGCCTTAAGTCAAGCTGCCAGAGGGAAGGAAATGAGTTCTCAAACCTGTCCTGAAAAGCAAAAAAGCTCTTTGCCTGAACAATGTGTAAGAGACTTATCAATTCTCATTTTAGAAGTAAATTGCAGAGGTGAAAAGGTAAATCAATAATATGTGTCAGCATTAGGAAGTTTGTCCCGGTTGCACTCTTTGTCAATGGAGGAGAAAGTTGCCAGTAATAAACAGGGTCA